CCATTACCCATAAAGCATTATCTCCCTGTCACACCATGCCATTACCAGGCCTTATCTCCCACAGCGGGGGGAACACCGAGCACAGTAAATCGCTGTTCGAACCAGCTGTAGTCATCTCATTCTGCAGCGTCTTAAGGCCAGACTGCTGTCACTGCCACTGCACCCCCACTGGTAAAGCAACATCGGGTAGTGACTACTGCTCTGTCGCTGGAGACCACCATGTCAGTAGGCTCATATTTACAGAGATTTTGATTTGTGCAACTCTCACTGATTCCATCAAATCCTCAAAACATCTCTTTACAGTGTGTAAATACAGTTAGCAGAAAGCCTTCTTTGAACTGAAGTGAGTGAAATAACAGTGATGTATGGACAGGAATCTTTTGGGAAGTATGAATCCCGTGCTGAAAGGGAAAGTTGAGGATAAACAGACAGACAGGCGAGGACAAGCAGACGCATGCAACAACATTTTCAACAAGATGCTAATTTGTTATATAACAACACGACCAGAGAAAATCAAAGAAAGTCGACCTTTAGTCCACCTCAACCTCCAGCCCCCACCTCTCCTTTACAATACTGCAGGGGGTGATTAGAGACGGATAATTGGGGCACAGAAATCCAGCAGTATAGAAGCCAAATTTTTTTTGAAAAAAGGCGAAATTCCAGAGTTCAGAACCGAGGGATTGAACAGGCTCCAAAACACATGCGAGGTCTTTTGTTCTGCACTCCAGTTCTTTTGTTTCACCTGCTGCACCACTCATTACAGGGAGCTTTACCTGTCAGATAGCATACCCTCTCTATATTTGATCACTTAAACTGTATTTAATTACTGCATGTCCCTTCACTTCAGGAGAGGCTGGGAAATGAGGCCACATGGGAGGCGAAAGCTTTGGGATTCTGAAAACATTCTGGTAAGTAATGTGCAGTTTAAACAGGGTACAAATGAGAAAATTACACTTTGTACTCTGCCAGTGCAGCTTTGTGTGTGGTTTTATCATTTATCCTAAATGTCTTTCTAACTTTGGTCTTGAATTTATGAACTAGTCTTGTCTTGTATTTTGTTTTTTATGGTTATGTGTGGAGTAGATAAACATGATTACAAATTAAATTTGCTTTGCATCCTCTGGATGGGTAAATAGGTGAATGTAAAACAATGTCCCTACTTCAGAGTCTGTCCAACAGAATGCACCAAAAATGAAATAATAATTAATAAATAATTTAAAAGGTATGTTATGTCTGTCTTTGTTAATGTTGAAAAATGAATATATCCAGTATCTGTCAGGCTCTTATTATGGTCTCTAAGATGAATCCTGCTGCTTTAGGCGACCCTTTGACTTTTCCTCTGTAGTCACGAACCATAGCACAAACAGCCGAGATCCACATTTATGAGGATGAACCCTCTCCAGCTTGGACACTTTTTCTATAGCCTTGCCAATTTTGCACATAGCACAGAAAACATGGAAGCTCTTAACAGTAAAATAGACACACATTACATGGTGAAGCCACAAAATAACAAGGAACAAATTCACATCCCTAACTGATGAATTGCTTTGACACTTTCATGTAAAGAGCACCGATGCCTCCAGGTGCCACTGATGCTTCCAGCAGGGTTCTCGTCTTGTTACATAAAACCTTTGCTTAGTGTAGTTTTTAGAAAAAACAACTAATATATATAATAAATAATTTCCCATACTACCCATCAACATTATTCCTTCCAGTTCTCCTCTGGCTTCCTCCATCAACCCTCTTTTGCACCTCTTGCTTCCTGTAACTCTCACATTGAGAGAGTAGAGATTCAGCACTGTGCTACCTTCCTCACATGTTTCTGTGCTGTCAACACTTTCTAAAGATAACACCTGCACTTCAGCCCCCATCCCTGAGCCACCTCTCTGCACCCGTCAGCCACAGTTCACAACAACTCTGCTGCGACAGAGGTGGCTAAAATTAAACCTTAAACAAGAGGTTTTGATAGGCACTCTGACAGGACTGCAGACCACGGGATCGAGTGAGAGAAGGGGTGTTAACATAGGAGAGAGGGCACACAAGCAGATTTTGAGGCACAAAAGAACAACCTTATTCCACCTAAAGCTGAGGACACTTAGGACACCCACACTGCATAAAAAAAAAAAGATAAATTCCTGTAAAACCGACCCCAATCTCCTGGTGGGCGTCATGTAGTGAGTGCTAAGAAGAGCTGGATCATTAAAGTGCCACGAAGGTCTCTCCAGTGCAGACACATTGCCTGCAGAGTAGCGCTTATACCAGAAGTAAAAGTCACTGCTTTGCTGACCGTGCCAATCTGTCCTCCTTTTCATACATATCCGAAAAACTCACACACCCACTCACACATACACACATCACAGAGCATCCTTAATCCTAGGTTGGCAAGCCTGCATGTAATATGAGCTTTCTGTTAGCAGTGGTGCCAAGAAATGCCAAGGAGAGCAGTGTTCCTTGTACAGTTATACTAATTTTCTCAACCTTGTGGCCTTGAGAGAAGATCAATGGATGACTGAAGAAGGTCGAAAAACACTGAGATCCCCCAATATTTGACCTTAATACAATCAAATCCTGATCATTACCGATCAAAGCTGACAGCTGATGAAGCCAGTAAGATTAGGGAAATCGGCAAGGAATTGATCCTTTCCTGCATTTTAATCACGAAAACTAAACATGAAGCATCATGTGGCATGATCAGTAATCCATACTCTTAATTCAAACACGCAATCCTACTAAACTATACTACTTGAGAGTCTCAGATACTTGATTCTACAAGCCATCCGTACCCTTGATTGTGGCAGACTTTTCATTTAGTGGATAGTATGCTGACCACTACTCAGGCGATTTGAAGGTCAAGGCCCCGAAGGATTACCGAGCGTTGAACGGTTAGATGAGTGGACAGCTGAACCGACTCATTGAAGCAGCACTGAGAGGGGGTTGGAAAGTGGTCGGTAGATCTCTAAAGTGAATGGATCTCCGACTCACTCAAGCTATCTGATTATACGTCTGTTAATTGCAGTTGAAATTCTGCCACTCCAGAATATCAAGTCCGGTCAGGGTCTGGTTGCTGCCCAGCATCTGTGCCATGCTGAATGAAATCTGGGTTGTGGTCAATATTGTGAGCAAACTCTATCATTAAGCTTTGGCACTGAGCAAAATTCACTCATGCCGTTCAAAAGGAAATGCATCTCATATGGTGATGATGCAGCTTTTTCTCCGATAGAAAGATATGTTCTAATAAGAAGCTGTTTTTCAAAATACCCTGAAAGAGACAAGCAAATATAGCCCAGCATCGGTTTTCCTCAAACCAAGATGAGCCATGGGAAGATCCCTCATAAGGGCTTGTGTGTGTGTGCGTGGGTGTGTGTATTACATGTCCGCCAGCGTGAGAGAAAGATTTAGCTTACACCACTTCACACTCCATTCACTCAGGCCCGTTGAGGAATGACGAGAGAAATGATGCATGTATGCTTTCGCTTGTGCATGTGTGATTAAAATGTTTATATACAGCGAGGTCCAAAAGTCTGAGACCACTTTTCCACAATACTGAGATTGAATAAGATACAACTGGGGTGAGATAGCTGCACAAATGTCTCTTAACACGTCATCTAATCCACTTTAATTTAATCTACTGAAATTCTTTAAATGTAATCAAATCTGCAAGTGGAATGAGGTCCTTCTGTTTTTTACCAGAGCAAATCAATAGTTTAGAATGACATGTTATTTCATTTTTCATGTTGTTACTGTGAACATGTCACCTAAGTAAAAGAAATATATATATATATATATATATATATACTGTATATAATTTAAAAAATGATTCTTTTTCACTTTCTCTCCTTAACACCCCCCAGCTCCACTCTGAGTGACCTTTCACCTCATCATGTTCTCCACCAATCAGAGTCACTGACTCTAGGATCCAGAATTAGCACCCCTATCACTGGCATGGAGAATGTTGACCATGCAGGAAAGACATGGAGGAAAGGAGAGAGTGAGACAGAGTGGGATGATTTGAATGGATGTGGAGAGACTGAGGTAAAGACAGAGAGTGGCTGATAAAGACCCTCACGAGACAAGGCCACAAGACAGGAAAGAAGTAAAAGGAATGCATTGCTTGTTATAGAACTGGGTTTTCCGCCAACTTACTTAAAAGTAATAAGACCACAGAGGCCAAAATCATCCATGTGTTCTCAGTAGATCATTAATATAGTCCTACGTTAGTGGATATTATGGGACAGGCCAAGTTGGCAAGTCATAAACCAAACTGAAACTTTGAACTGATGGCAGCGCGACATGAAAAGTTAAGGTATCATGAAGTTATTACAATTGATCCTGAGGGAGACATGAACGTTCGGTCCAAATTTCATTGCCTACTATCCAGTAGTTGTTGAGATATTTTAGTCTATGTTTCCATCTCTAGAGCTCTACTGAATATATCAGTGTGAAAACTCAACATATCTACAGGTTACTTTTGACTTGGGAGGGGAGGGGGGGAGGGGGTCGTTTATCCAATGTGGCCTTACGATATGGAGATAAAAACGTGCTGTAGTATCATGTTTAAAAAGATCTGTTGGCTCTGTGTTGCATGACAGCAAGTCACCCTCTCAAACACATCTCCTATCATTCCCTTCCTCAATTGTAAATCTTTCATTCAGCTCTTTCTCCTTATCATGACACATCTCATCTCATCTTTTTTTTTCTCCGTCTGTTTCTCCGCCTGTCCTTCTCTTCACCATTACAACTAAGAAGAGTCAAGACTTCACCAGGCCCAGAAGGGAGAAGCAGAGCTGTGATAACACAGTGCTACTTTAATAACAGTTACAGCCACACATACACACATACATAAGGTCTAACCCCCGGAAATGCACCTAATGTAAACCCCTGGACAGCCATCTAAATGTGTAGTACAGTGTGTTCATGCATGTGCGTGTGTGTGCGTGTGTGTGTGTCCAGGGAGAAACACGTATTAAGCACATATACAAAACATGTCACACAGCACTCACCGATGCAGGCGTGTACACGGACGGTCAGCTGGGTCCGTAAAATAACACTGTGCTTCTTCCCTCTGGACCTAAGAGAGAGAGAGTGGAGTGACACAGAGATAAGCAAATAGGTGACGTATGTTTCATTTCTGGAATCAAGTGTAAATTTCTTGTCTGTAGCAAAATCATCTGTCTTGTTTAAAGCATTTTTTGTTGTTTGTGTCAAGAAAAATCAGATTTGTAAGACACAATACGAGACAAGGGTTTTTTTTATGATGGACATTTTTTACGGCGCAATCCTGTTGGCATGACGGGAATGGTGAAGACAAACAGTGGCCTGCATTAGATTAGCACCCCTATACTGATACACATCTGAGCCTTGAGGAAAGACAGCAGAACTGCAGGAGCAGACACAACACACATATGCACATCTATAGACCGCCTCACACCATTGTGCCAATGAGCACATATTCCTACACAGCATATTTCCAGTGGGAAAACAAAATAAGTACACACAAACATGAAAGTAAAGCATGATGGTATTTTGAGAACACGTCAAACTCTCTCTCCTAACCTTAGCCCTTATCCTCCGATCTGTAGGAGCTAATCACTGACATCCATCACTGACACGCTGATAGCATCCAACCCAAGCCGCTATGATCACACACAGCTGGAAGACACTCGTCATGCATAACATGCAGTAAGGATAGCATACACCCAAACAAGAGAGCAGCTGGCCTCCTATCCTACTGTTAAGCTCCGTTATCAGCTTTGCTCGGAAATAGAGCAAAATGTTAACACGATCCGTTGAGATGCTGATAGAACAAATTCATCTGTCATACCTCTCTGATAATCTATTGTGTGAGAATGACAGTTACCGTAGAGACTCAGAAAGACTGACAGCGAGAGAACAATGGGAGGAAAAATTCAACTTAAACTGGTAAACACTGGGTGTGAGAGTATTTAAGAGGATTTGACATTTTTTATTTATATCTGTGGGGATAAAAAAAAGGGGGGGGTTGGGAGGGTTGAGGTCCCCAAATCTATCAGGTTGTCATTCATGTCCAATTTCGTATCTGTAAATACCAGCATTATAATCTACAGAGGTTTTCATCCCATTTTTCTGTTAAACTTTCCTTCAGTGGAAGCATACTCTGAGCCGTCCTGTCACTTGAGGACTTTGTTTACTGTCAACTGCGGCGAGCAGTGTCCCACCACAGCTGGAATTGCAACACATTTTCGATGCGTGGGAACATAAATTCTACGTTTACACCAATGTGCTCTTTATAAACCTCTCTGCCCATTTTTCAGTGAAAGGCAAGTTTCAGTTTTCCAGTTTCAGTTTGTTAGTTAAAACTAGAAAAAGTAGGCCTTATTTGTATTCCTAAAAAATATACGAATGTATCTATAATATGTGACCAGTAACCGTAAACCAGTCACCATGATACCAAGACACACACAAGACACAGTCGTTGTTATTGTTGTGAGATTAGAGAGGCTATAGACAGTTAATGTGCCTGAATGAAAGCTATTATACACACGGCGCCATAACAACTGGACACATCTATTCACTCTAAAAAATTCACACCCACTACATAACGCTTTGTTTCCGACATTCGGTATGCCTTTAATGTGTAACAGCAGCTGTCAAAAGCTTCCTGATTTTAAAGCACAAGTAGAAGATGCAGTGTGAGGCTGAGATATTGAGTGAGATTAGCTTATTCATTTTTGACACTATATAAATAGCGTTCATCCAACAGAGGGAGGACAGGACAAGCCTAGTAGTGGAAGCATCCAACCTCAGCTTTTGTGATTTTTTGCCAGGGTCAAACCCAATCCAATGTGTGAATCATTTCCTCCTGTCAGCACAGTGTGACCTTGGTAAAAGCCTCAGTTTTATAGGAAGACAGACAGGCCCATCCAATCCAACCAGTTCCCCAAGATCTCAGCCACTGCAGAAACACACACACAGCCTTCATTCACCTGTCCATCATTTGTCAAAAGGCTCACTAGGCGCACAACAAAGACACACACACACACACACACACACACACACACACACACACACACACACACTCACACACACACACACACACACAGAGACAAACAAACACATGTACACATGGAAACAAGACACACAGAAACAGACACAGAGAACAACCAGGCTCTGTGGGGTCTGCCATCACTTATCATCCTGCCGCCCCCAGCCCCCAAACAGATCAACATACCACAACTTTCCACAAACGCACAGTCACACACTCTTGCACATGCAGCCACTTAACAGATGCCTTCTCGGTGTATTTTCTCAGAGCTCTACATGACAATGCTTTTTGTATATAAAGAGATTTTAGGTGATAAAATAGTGTTGGAGGCAACAGCTGAGAACAAAGTACACTTGACTTATCCTCAACAGCAAAGTCTAACATGATTTATCTAGCTATCTCCCCACTGATGGCGTTACGGTACATCAGTTGAATATAGATGATGCTCACCTGTTTGTTATACAGGTAATTAGCTAAAGTTACAACACCTGGTCAATCACACAAAAATGGCTCAGTGTTAAACCCCTGGCTTTACACAAAACAACAGCTAGCTAGCAAACTTGTAGCTAAGCTAGTTAATAAATTCAGCTAAAGTAGTTCCACTTGTTTGTTAACATTACTCAATTTTATTTGGTCTGTTAGTTTTGTATGGTTTGCTAATATAATTAGCACGCTGGCTGGTTAACGTTGCATTTGAAAAGTAAAAAGAAACGGTTAAGCCTAACTGCGCTAACTAGCTAGAATTGATGTCACAAGTCATAGCACTAAAAAGAACAAGCAGTAACTTAATGTGATAATAGCATACTTTGGGAAACAAATACAGGCTACATTATTTGGTCATTTATTTTTAGTAACTTACTGTGCGACTCCTCAGTCATAACTTGCATCTTTTCTTTTTCAAATGGTTCTCCTGTTGAAACTTGTTGTTGCTGCTAATATGTTAGCTTTAGGCTTTCTCGCAGTGTTTTACAGGGGAAGCAGAACACCTACTGTATGCTAAAAAAAAATATATTACTTCCACCAAAAAAATAAAAAACAAATAACAGAAATCAAAAGTAACCTTCAGGGTAAAGGGTAGAGATGCTGCTGTGCTGCCAGGTGTGGAAAATCAAACTGATATGATTGATTGTGTTTGGATCATTCATGGCAGATCCTAGGTCAGTTTGCTGTAATACACTGACATACAGCGCTGTTAACATACGATAAATAATCAGACTGGAAATCAGTTATATATCATTTCACCATTATGGAAATCGGGCTGAAACATGCTGAAATGATTTGTCATTTAGAGGTTTTCAGAATTGTTATTCATACAAAGGACTAAATAATCAAACTAATTTGATAATTACCATACACCTGCCAACACTGTGGTATTTCACACAAAAAATGCCTAAATATTTATTAGTGTGGCTATTGCTGATCAAACTGATCTAATTTCTGGGGAAATTCTGAGCCCTAGCAGCAGTCTTCCATTTTCCATTTTCTCCTGTTTTCCCAAAGAGTGAGCTGGGATATGTGAGAGACTGAAAATGATTCACAGCAGTACTCTAACAAAGTGGTCATGCGGTTTCCTCCAGCAGCCAGAGTTGACAGGTTTGTGAACTGTGAAATCTTGTCACAAAGAAGACCACAATAACGATTATTATAAAAGTACAGTGAGAGAGGAGCTGTTGCTGTGGAAGTGAGGGCACATCTGTCCCGCTTTCCAGAGTGCTTCATACTTTCCGTGAACTTGCGATTCCAAGAAATCCATATCCAGCAGCTTGTGATTTCTCCCATTTTATAAGAATGGAGAAACTCAGAAAAGTGTGTGAAGTGTGTGTGTGTGTGTGTGTGTGTGTGTGTGTGTCAGGGAGAGAAAAGGCAAGGGGACTCATCACTTTGTCTCAGATGATTGCAGATATTTTGACATGGAAGAGTGAAAGTGTATGTGAGTTAGAGAGTGTGGCTGTGGCAGAGAAGATAAATGTGAGTCACTCTCACCCTGTGTCGTCCTGCTGAAAGCCCTCCAGCTCGTCCCTTTGCTCAGCCAGAGAGGACTCCAGATCCAGATAGGTGCCATTGTGGGAGAGCTGGAGCGCACAGTCATCAAGCTGTGGAAATGAAGGAAGAAATAAATAATTTTAATACATCAGTTTTAATGAATAAAATGAACCTGAACTAAGATACTAGGTTAGATTTAACTTGACTGAGAGGGAAATACTACAGCTGAAGTGGTCCCCACTTCAACTTCACATTTTTACCTATATTAGGGATGGAAAATATGATTGAGAACTTGGACATACGGGGTGGCACGTGAAATTTCCCTGGCAGTGATATACATACATATGAACTACCCACAGGAATGACATTGGTCTCTGGACACACTTTTTTTAATGCTCCCTCAATATGTCTCTCCACATTTCACACCCTTTTTTAAAACAATTTGAGGCCGTAAAACGAATCCAGTTTACGGGGGAAGGGGTTTGAACACGAGTGTGTACAGTGGTCCATGAAAAGGGGGGAGAGCCATATGCGGTGCGACTCTGCTTCCAGTATTACAAAGCTGTTAAGGGAATTAAATAGTAGAGACACAGCCATAAAGGCTGCAGAACATGAAACTAAAACCAGAAGGGAAAGTGGAGACAGAAAGAGAGATTTTAGAGCATTTAAATGCCACCTGAGGGGAATATGACACCTAAATATTATTCAAATCGTGTATCATATGAAGCTGCAGCTCATTTAAGTCCCTGTTTGTTTAAGGGAGCAATCACAGTCATCCCCACGTAAATAATTTACATGTATATCTATGCACACGACAGATTGTGCTATGTTCCTGTTTTTCACTTCTCAAGAACAGACCAATCTTGCGCCCACGCCATCTTCGAGTGCATGATCTAAGGTAACACAGCAGAGCAGCCTATGTCAGAAGTGACCCACTCTGCTGTGTAATGAGAAACCCTGCTGAGTTTGAGACCAGGTGCAAAGTAATATATCTGCACACCACTGGCAATGATGTTTATGAGTACAGTCACAAGTTGATAGCAGGTGCAAGCTGCCATCCCAGAGACTAGAGCCAATAAAAAAATAACATACATCATTATGTTGCAACAAGCATCTATGAGCTTCGCAACACAGTGTTAAAGCTGCTGTCGTATGAATAGGTGAATGAGATCAGAGTCATGAGTTAAATTACTATTTATCACCTTAATGGTATCAGTGGGTTTAACGTAGCGTGGCCTATGGTGTGTTGCCAAACGCCTGCCCCCCCCCCCCGGCCCATCCAGTCGAGAGGCGCATGACGACACTCACTGACCAGCAGAGACCGCAGATCACAAGACCTGCTGCTGTTCTCTGTCTGTCCCTCCCTTTCACTTGGAAACAGAGAGACGGACTGTCGGATGGACTCACAGCATAAATATAACCTTGCTATATTTACTCTGCTCTGAGGCAGCATGCACACAGGAGCTCAACGGTGGGTGTGTCCGCAGGAGCCGGGAGTTTGTGGGGGGGAGCAGTGCCCAGGCCAAAGTGTTACAAAGGAGAATCTAAGAAGCTCCATGAACATGCCGATGAACTTTGCAGTACTACTCTAACCTATCTTTCATTCTAGCAATCCCAGGAGCAGGCCCGATTAGCAAAGGAGGTGACTTTGGGATCCGCTACCCCTGCCCACACCAGCATTAATCCACCTGTGCCAAATTGCCGATCCGCAAAGCAAAAACACACACTTAGTGGACACATTCTTACTTGCAATTTTAGGCAGTTAAACTGCTGTCATCACCATCTTTACCTCATGCAGACCACTAGATAGGAACAACGTTGATATAGTGTGCACAGGAGAGGAGGAGGAAGACTCTTGATGAGGTTGACAGCTCAAAAAAATAATCTTGAATGGGGCTTGACCTTTAATATATAGCTATATGCTGTCTTCAGGATGTCAACAATGATAATAGCAACATGCTGATGTTTAGGTTTACCATGCTCACCATCTGAGTTTAGCATGTTAGCATGCTTACATCCTCTGATTATCACTATACACAAAGTACAGCTGAGCTGATGTGAATATCATTACTTTTGCAGACTGGGTCATCAACCAAACTAACAGACATTTTGAAGTGATAATAGCCCTGAATGAAATATTAAGGTATCACCAGTCGTTACAATTCATCCTGAGGAGGAGGTCACTAATGTGTTCACGAAATTTCATGGGACATTTCACTCAAAAAGACAAACCTCACGGTGGAACTGGAGGAAAAGTTAGAGGATCATCAAAAGGGATCATGAATAACACAACAAACCTTTTGCCAGTCCATTCAATAGTTGAAGAGATATTTCCATTTGGACCGAAGTGTTGGACAGACCAATCAACAGACCAACATTTACTGCTTGGCTGCTTGCATCACTGAGAATATTAACTAAGCGTAAAGGAAAAATAACAAAAGCATTGTAGTGCAAATATGTTAAGAGCCATCTCAGTGCAATGCCACTCTTATTCACACTTCACGTGCCAATTCAGCATGTAAGATTTGGTAAATCTCAGATTGAGGTTTGATTGAGCAGAGGGGGGGTGGAGACAGTGGGTGGGGTTAATCATGCCTTGTCCCACTGCCCTGATTTTTATGCAGGAGTAAGACAAAAACATTTCTTGTGCCCAATCTGTCAGCATTATTCAGCATTTTAAGCAATACTCCACCCATACGTAACAGTGTGTCTTTCCCTTTTTAGCACTTGAGTTAAGCTTTCCTTATCTTTTCGAAAATCCCCACATCTGTCTAACACACATATCCCAATACAGAGCCCCACCACCGACTCCACCTCCACCTCCTCTTCTGCTGCTCTGCTTTATCTACACACATTATTCAATCATATAAATACTTCTTGGACAGCGAGAAGTGATCCCCGGGCCACTTTGTAACACAATATGTTAACAGCTCACCCTCCAAAGGCTGACTCTTTCCTAAAACACTTGGTTTGGGTAATAGGAGTAATAACATAACAAAACACATCATGCTGGATGAAGCCGGGACAGAGGTGGCTCCAGAAGGAACCGCTAACTCTTCACACTCAAGGCTCCGGGACGGGCCAGGGAAACACTTAGTGGCTAGTATACTTTACACTCATTTAATCAAATTCTCCCAGAAGAGCAAAAGCAAAGGAAAAAAGTTGGAGGGGGGTGGGGAGGGGGGAGTAATTACCTCCACGTTAAAACAACACTGAGCCTGCTGGCGATCACAGTGGGCCGACAGTTAACGATGCCCTTACGTAACTTAGACGATGAGTTTTTAAGAACTTTTTTTTGTGTGTGTGTGTGTGTGTGTGTGTGTGTGTGTGTGTGTGTGTGTGTGTGTGTCAGATTCAGAGCTGCAGAGGATCAAGCTCTTTGAAGAGCGTGGGGGAGGGCGTGTTCTACACGGCTATTAAATCTCCCTATGTTGCTTTAATGGAAACCCTTTGGTAATGACATAAAAGTTAAGCTGTGAAGTCTGGGCTTTGTTGTTTTTTGACGGGAATGGGAGTTTTCTTTGCAAAACCGGAGCTGCTTGACTGATGATGAAGCTTCTGCATTGAGCTCGGCACGTGATATATCATTTTGGGAGAGTCATTTGTCTTAGTGCTTAATTTCACTCACTTATCTCTACATTTCAGGGTAAATGTTAAACTTTGATGAACTCTGTTGAGCCTTTTTAGGTTAATTTCTTTAAAGCCTGGACAGGAAAGTGGTTATCTCTTCTGTGAGAATCAAAAGGAAACATCTTTGTTTAGCAGTCGGGACAAAATGACACATCTCGGGTGCACTGATTTAGCCTTGGCAACCCCGTTCTAACCTTATGTGTGTGTTTATGAGTGTTTGTGTTTGAGTGTACGAACTGGTGCGTGGTCAGAGAGGTGGAAGAGGAGATGGAGGAAGAGGTCAGGAAAACCACGGCACCCAAAGTGAGGAGAACAAAGTGTCGCAGGGATCCAGGCCCCGGCCACAGGAATTCTGGGACAAGTGACCTATACTTTACATGCAGCCCAGCCAGCCATACACAGAGCTCTACCATCACAACATAATAATACAGTAGGCTTTTCTGAGAGAAGAGCACAGGAGGTTAAGACAAAAAGGGAGAACGAGTGTTTTAACAAAGAAAGACAGAGAAGCAGCTCAAAATATTCAGAGAATAGACAAAAACTGAGCACATTTTCCAATAATATAACACTCCAGCTTTTCTCTAAGCACCACCTTTTAGATCTGGACAGTCTGCTAGGCAAATTTGCAACAGTTCAGTTTCATCCCTATAATCTAAGTGCAATATCCAGTTGCCATTGCGTTCAGTCTTCCTCCTGATGTGAACAAAATTGCAAACACGAACGCAAGCTGTGCCATCTGTCCTTGTATAGGTTGTAATCATAAGCTTTTCTGTGCTGTGGGCCATTTTTCATTTGTTTTGTGGCTTTTAAAGACGGGGCAGTGAAAGATCGACTCGGTCTGGAAAACCACTCTGCTGTTGAACGCTGGTTTGCTGTCAAGAGTTGTGTCCCAGCAGTCCAACTCCCTCTCTCTCTCTCTTTCCTTCTGTCTCACTTTTATTTTCAACTCTATTCTATCCACATTTCCAGCTTGAATTGTAGACCATCTGTTTTCAAATGAAGAATAAAAAAATAAGGTCACATACAGTATCTGCTCGACTTGTAAGGCCTCTGCGGGTGTGTTCGTGTGTCTGAGTCAACCTTGTCAGTAAGGAATGTGTGGCTGCTTTTTTTTTTCTGGATTACTTTAAACACTGAAAATCGCTGACAATGGACTCTCTTCCTCTCCACCACACACTTTCTCTGGTTCACACACTCATCATAATCTGACACTTCCCACCAAATTGGTTCCTGGGCTTCATGACTGTCACCTGTGCATGAAATGAGGCAACTCAGGATATATTTAGCTGCAGTTATGCCTTTTAAACCGCCTGTCACAAAAAAAAATACAAAAGGCAGGTTTATTCACTTCACTTGCAAGAATATATGGCACCTCTCAACTGGGGGGGAGCGGAGGGGGTCAAAGGTTAGAGGGATCCAGCACTTGAACAAGGCAAAGACTGGGATTAAAGGATGGATATTCGGTCTAAAACAGGTGAAGTCCGTGTTTTGTGTTGCTGTGGGCTTTCAGGCAAACATTGCAACCTCGTTTCAGTCCTCAGGCTGGAGAGCCAATCACTCCTGCTTGCATGTGTTCTCAAAATAGCCCGTGAATGGTGGGTATGGAAGTTTATTTGCAGTTGGCTTGAAGTGAAAAACAGCAGCCTTAAAGGTCGCAAAACAACCTCACGATGTATTCACACACAAGAACGTGTTTGAATCTAAGCATGAACCCTCATATATTTCTATTAAGGTTGGTAAGTGTCCATGAGTTCATATTGATCTTATTTTCCTTTTTGGTGGGATATGTCACTATACAATTCCTATAATCAATCTATATCAAATATTTTCATAAAGTCAGGCCACACAAGTGATTTCTAGGATAGGTTGTTTACCACCCCTGGTAATCCTACCTTGTGTGGAGCTTTGAGGAGCCGGTGGACGCCTGCTAACTGGTTGATGAGTGGGATATCCTCCCTGAAGGTGTACAGCGGTGGTCTCGTCGGCTCTGGGAAATTTGTGCTGTTGAACGGATCGGTGTCGTCTAAAAACTGAACCCTGCAGACAAACGTGGCCATGGTGCATCCATGCAAGTGGCTCCTGTGAGGGGGGCAGCCCGGTGTGCACAGAGCTGAACCGGCTCTCCGGCTCTGCTCGCTGAGCGCTCCTCTCCTGGTAACGACAACAAACCCGGGTCGCTAAGTGCGCCCTGTGCGCAGCCTGTCCTCCCGCAGGACGTTTTGGTGGAGGGGGTTTGGATGCCGAAAAGATGGCAAAGGAAGCCGGTCAGTATCTTGCCTCGCCTCCTTGCTTTGGTTGTGCTCCTCACTGAGCTTTTCGGTGCCGCTGTGTTATTCTCGGAGAGGCAGGTGGCCGGTAATAAGGGGGAGGCAGCGGGCGGGCGGACTCCAGCCTGGTGCTGGAGAGTGAAGGATCAGCGCAGCTTGGGACAGCCGGTCTGCTGTCTGTCTGAGTCCCAGTAAATCCACCCCCCACCCCCCCACCCCCATATCTATTTTCCCCTCTGCCTCATCTCCCTCCTCCCCCTCCCTTCAGATCACTGTCCCAGGCTTAGCAGTGGCTTCCCATATGAAAATGAACTGCAGGCTATTTATGCTATAATACATTTATTTCGAAGAATATAAACATACAAATGTGAAAATGTAACGAGGTAATGTGCTATTCGCATATAAAAGAATAGGCACGATCATAAGCTAAATTTGCCATAAAGTAGTCAACAAAGGGAACAGTCTATAATCATAAAGCTGCATTATCACTGAGACAGTATTAATCTCCGTTGAATAAATAAACAGGCTAATAACCTAGGCTACTACAACAATGAGGTGAAATATAGCATATATCATAGAAAGATTCGTTTTCACTATTTCACTATCCAGGACAAAAGACACACAAGTCTCATTTTACTCTTACTCTGAAGAGTAGCCTGACACGAGGAACAATATTTGGGAAGTTTGCAGCAAGTTAAAGCGCAATTTTGACCAATGCTGACATCTTGTGGCCAAAAACGTGAAATGCAAGTGCGGCTTTCCTTTCACTCCCATCGCTTCAACAATCTTAGACCAACTTAGTTTCTTTTTCTGCACAATATTAAACAATTTTTTAATACTAAAAATGCACTCTCAGTTCATATAAAGGAATACTGGAACATTTAGTTACAGTAAACTCACTGCAGCTGCTGTAGGTGATGAAATCAATGTTAATTTTGAGAGGTGAATTAAATGATGATCATACCACACAGTTTTATAAAAGAGATACTAGATAGTTTAAGACAGCTGCAGTGAAATCATGAAACTATAAAGTGATTTACGAAAAAGCAAAGCTTACTTCATTTCATGTTCAGAGGACAACGAAGCTGAATAATTACACAGCAGAGCTCTGTAGCTGTAGACAAGCTCTTTAAACTGCAACACACAGGTTCATTTATCATACTCATCACGGTTTCATCCCCATGTCGAAGGCCAGTGCCTTGTCACGTGGGTTGCTGCCATCAGTGTGTGTGAATGAGAGGCAAATTGTAAAGCGGTTTGGATGAAAGTGCTTTATAAACACAATCCATTTACCATTTACCATTTTGTCTGTGCACTTGTTAACCTCATCTGTGTATGAGAGCAAAATCTATTGTCTAATATGCAATTAAACCCGTGGGGAAAATCAATGGAGAGCACCTCTTTGTTACCACTGGAGGGCAGAAAACCACTAATCTTTACCACTAATGAGCCAAGAGATGAAATACTGACAGTACAGCGTGGATCATGAGTCAGTGGCTGGTTGCGAAGTAAGGCTTAAAGTTCAAAGATTCCCTCACACACCGTGGCAACCACTCACTGCATGCTCTCTTATCTCTAGCTCTCCAGCATGGTTTGGGATGATCAGCCTGTGTCTAAACTCAGGCTGATAATCCTCAGACACATCTTAGTAACAGAACAATTAGTAAATGTCAAAAACACTGAATCAGAACATCAATATCAACAGGGTAAACAAACAGGAAGTGATGACCTGTCCGCAGTGAGATGGGATATTCAGAAAAAAGAGAAATAAGAATAATTACCAACTCTGAAAACACAAACATAAAACAAAAATTCAAGACATTTTACTTTCAGAGTCACCATATATTTTCTATTTCAGTATGACTGGATTTCAATAACATCATTTAGACAAGCAGAGGAGTGAAGACATAGAGTGAGGTGTGTTTGTTTTCTGCAGTGTTTTGTTCTGCTTGTGAAGTCACAGTGGCTTCACTGCAAATAAACTGCATCCTGAGGATGTCGCAGTAACCAGCTTTCCCTGCAGTGCAGCCAGGATGTACAGATTAGTCTGCAGCTTCTGTAGCAACTTTTAGACACTTTAAATGATCTCCCAGAGTACTGTGGGAGGAACTGTAAGTGCACCTTACCCTGCATTATTCCCTCTTATCTGAGAGGAACATTGTAGACCTTCAATCTTCTCTGGTCAGTTAGATGTAGCTCTATAATAACAGAAAGTACAAGATCAAATCTACGGTCCCATATTCTTAAGGGTCATTTTGGTTTTCCATTAAATTTATTGGCAGGGCAAATTATTCGACTTCTTCTTTCCTGTCTATAGTCACACATTTACAGTGGGATCTTCAGCAGGTTTCTTATTAACAGTTTGAAATACACATTCTCTTTCAGATTGGTAGTCTTGGATAAAATCCACACAATGTTTTTTTTTTTTTTTAGGAATAAATAAGAATAAAATGGTTAAAATATCACTTGAGGAGAAGATGACGCACACATTGTGGTAAAAGTCTGAACTGGTGACTTCATTATAAATCTACAACTAAGACTTGGTGTATTTGACAGCTGTAAACTAAAAGTACGACTTTGCTGACTGAGCTGTGTGGGCTTCTGTGTGTAACATCTGGAGGTTCCCATACCTGTGTCAAAGTCATGGATTTGGTAAACTCTTCTTATCTGCTGCGAAAATGCGAATTTTTCATAGAGGAATGTGAAAACTAAAAGAAGAAAAAAAATATTAAAATTGAAGGAAGCTATGTTTTGTGTTTGGAAAATAAATTACTCAGTATTGTTCATGATAAATGCAACTGTGTTGTGTAGTAACTACACAAATCCTAATGGTGTATAGCTCATTAGCCCTAAAATGCAAGAAATTTTGTCAGCATCACTTTTGTTCATAATTTATCACATTTTTTGGGGTGGGTATAAATGAAGACACTGGAGTCAATATAAAACCCTAAGATACAATCTATTTTGCAAACACACTCAGTATAGCACTATGAAACCATGATGCATCATTTAAGTCTAATATCTGCTCTTAAAGTGATTTAGGTTAAACATTAACTCTTGCACGTGAACATTATTGTGTGACTTAAATGTCCATTTGGCAGCGAAGCACCACTGATGCATTAAACTACTCTACACACACAATTTTTGAGCAGGGAAGTTTTGTTTTATTTTATTTTTATGTTTAGCTACAGTAGTTGTTTCACTTTACACAGGGTGATCTCGGGGTCTGATGTAACAGAAGTGAAGAATAACTACTAATGTTTCCACTGATTCCCTTAACTCCACTCAGGTCCTGCCTGAGAGGTGCTCAGATATCACTAACGCTTTCCAGATAAAGCAGCATATCTCACTCAGTGCATATACACAGCATTTATCAGCGCAGAAGCCAGTACATAAAAATGGTCAAATGGAAATAGTATTTTATTGTGGTACTGTTGGTACATAAAATAAATGATCTGCAACATTTTCATAAAACTAAATCACTGATTCTCACCGCCATCTGCGAATTAAAACAAGAGTGGTGTCTTAAGCTAAATGTTAATGTCAGCATGCTAAAAATGCTCATAACAACAGTGCTAACATGCTGATGTGCTGAAGCTTACCATGGTCACTATCTTAGTTTATCATGTTAGCATGCTAACATTTGCTAATTAGCAACATAAAGTGCAGTGGAGGCTGATGGGAATTTTAATCATAAACTACAATTTAAAATTCAGACCTGATGACACAATATTAACGTCTTTTTAATGTCTTATTTCTATATATTTCCATTCCTCTGTAAAGCACTTGTTTCTGAATTGTGCTACATAAATAAACTTGCCCTGCTTTGAAGACTGGGCGAGATTCAGAGATCATCAAAGTGATTACATTTAGTCCTGGGGGTGGGGGGCATGAATGTCTGTATCAAATGTCATGACAACAAATCTTGTCATGCATTCCTGGACTGAGTGTTTTCACTTCACAATGTTTTCACCAAACAGTACACTTACAACCTATATAGCTTCCTGTAATCTCAGTTTACTACTGGTAGGCTAAAAGGGTAAAAGGGTATATAGGGCCAGCTGAGGGAGAGGACGCTATATCTCTGAAGTGGAAATAGGATTTCCCAACAGTCTCTGTAGTAGTGGTGTAAAGGTAAAGCACGAGCTGCCATTCAGAAGTGTCTGTATATAGTCTCAAGTGGTTAACATTTAGCTCATGTTACTACTGAAAGGTTCAGTGACATACAGTAAGTAACAAGTTGAATTCGATATCCACCTCTCTGTACAGGCAACAATATGACTCTACCTCTACATACTTTAAAATGATTATTCATAATGATCATAATTTGATGTGTGATTCATGATTTAGACCTCTGCTATCTGAAAAAGTCCTGACAGCAGAGTGAACTTTTAGCCCTGATCCTACTCCACCCGCATCATGATAATAAAGACAGTAAAAGCTCCTATTACACCCTTTTCTTAGCTTCAATTATACTCTGTGTAGTTGTTTCTGTAAAAGGTTTCGCATGACTTGACGTTTTTAAAGATTAATAACTACATAGAATGAACAGGGGGAATGATTAAATAAATGGATATAAAAGGAACAATGAAGAAAGTAATGAAGATAGAAAAGACAGAAATTATAAATTGTTTCAATGTGTTGAGGTGTAAAAAAACATCTAATGTTCCAACGATCACATGGTTACAGTAAAGTAAAGGTGTATCTATACTATCTATCTATACACATTTCCTCTATCTCTCTGGTTATCTAAGCTTACCTTGGTGTGTCCCCAGATGCTTTTATGATCCCGATCCTTATCCTGCTGCTGTCCTGCTGTGCTATCGGCACCATAAGGGCTAGGGCTGTGATTAACTCTTAACTGACTGGTGTTGGTGATTAGTTGAGTGATTATTAGTCATTTAAATCAGGGGAGACTTGGGAGCTGGAGATCTGGATGTGATGAGGAGTGGATGGCGATGAGCTTGACCTGGCACCGGATGTGGAGACTGGGGGTGGATGGTGTCGGGGAGGGTCTCAGCAATACACGCTGAAATGACAGGTGACAGCAGAAGAGAGGATAACAGATTTTAAAGTTTGACAGCAACAACGTGATTGACAGGTTGAGACTGTGGCGAAATCTGATTGGTTACCGAAAACATCTGAAGCGGGAGAGAGCAAGGTGGAATTGTGAATGAATGAGGTATAAAGAGTCTCCCTGATTGAACTTATGCTTAGCTTCATAGATATCTTGCACAAAACTGAGTTTTCTTGCAAGATATTCATTCATTTCTATCTTAAATCTGGTTGGTAAAAGCATAAGATTGATGAGAAATTTCTGTTGCTTTTGCCCTTCCATTACAGTTGTTGCATCCATGATACTGTAATAAGAGACAGTCAATATAACAAATTTATCATGTATGATATTTGTTGATTACCATTTAAAATAAGGACACCCATGTACTGAAGAGTGAAAAAAATCTGAAAAGACCAATCAGGTAGTTTATGGCCTGAACTTTTTTAAAGAAGTATGTAAGTCTGTGTAGTTAATGTACCAAATGTATCGAGACACAGCTGCAAAGTGTGATTTCTTATTGTAATTTGCTCAAGGACATCACGTCATGTTTCTGTATGAAGTGACTGTTTGAGACTCTGTTGTCTGAAACTCTGTCAGATTGCAAGTTGTGATAATGAACTCAGATAGACAGCCTGTTGTTTGTTTATTAGAGAATTTCCACCACAGTACTTACAGTACTCACATGTAACTCCACAGTTACTGCGGCACTGATTTTTGGTCGTTAAACTTATTGTATCTTTACAGGTAAGTATTTTTTGGACCAAGTAGTGATGCACAAACTTTACATAAACACAGATAGCTTTATAGGCATCTTTAAAATAACCCTAGATACGTCCGCTATAGATTACCGGTCAGTATACACAACGCTGTAAATGCCGACACCGGCCTTTCTTTGGTTAATTATTGCATTAGAAAGGAACACTGATAAGATTTATAAGCTCTCTGAACTGCTTAACAATTACACTGCAGAAAAAATGTTATGATACAAAAACAAACAGGAAAAAGATCATTTCCACTACTCTGTGACATCTTGACAATCACTCTGGTGATTATCCTTAATAATAATAATAATAATAATATAAGAACGGTTTATCATTTATTAAGTTTGAGAGAATGTGGACTGAATTTGCCGACTGAGATGATTGGCTTGTACATCCCTATGCAATAAAACAATCTGACTTCTCAAGGACTGGAAAAGGCAGTGCCCAATAATTAAGATAAGCAGAGATGGAAAATGTGCTGCCTCTGACAGCGGAGAGTTTCATCCCGTCTTTCTGTCCAAAAAAGAAACACAAACTCTGTAATTATGACATTTTAATGATTTGGATGGTTACTAGCCACTAGTAACCTTACTATGCACATTAGTAGGACGGATTAAATTTAGCAGTTTAAAGAGGAGTAAACAACCAACATGATGCTCCTTTATATATACTGTAAATAAAGACCTGTGATTTCTTCATATTACATCAAATTAAACTATTTCCCTTTACAATTGCCTGAAAACCAAACTAATCTTTTAAGGAAAAATGTTGGCACCTCATGTGATGTATTAACCATTATCATGAAGGTTGCACCTTTTTCCGTTTAAACTTGCTGACATTACATAATACAACACAGACTGTAATGAGCTACTGATAACTGCAGTTTAGGAGCCATAGGTCGCAGTATACCTCGATTCCCCTTCCCAGGACACTCAGAAGGAGTGTAGGACTCGGAGAGAGAGGGACAGTCACCAGAGAATCAGTAACAGCTCCCAGCACAGAGGAGATCGTTTCAGAAAGGACATACAGCCTCTGGAAGCTTTGCAGGGAAAAGCAGCAAAACAACAACTGCTTACCAAAAGGGAGACTCCAAGACTACATTTTCCAATTCTGTGTCCAGTGAAATTTACAGAAAGCTGCCATGAAGCTGAAGATACCAAACCCAGGACTGGATGAGCGGATCCCCTCTCATGCGGACCTGGAGAGGATGGAGACAGAGGAGGCTGGGGAGAGGCCCAAATGGGACAACAAAGCCCAGTACCTGCTCACCTGTGTGGGCTTCTGTGTGGGACTTGGCAACGTCTGGAGGTTCCCATACCTGTGTCAAAGTCATGGAGGAGGTAAGATGTGAAGCGGCTGGATGTTTTCTGTTTCAGTTCTTTAAAAAAAAATGCACAAAAAATAACTGAGATTAAGAAAAAGTATGTAACACAAATAAAGAAGTGAACTGTAACTACCTGACACATCTGAAGGGATATGTGCATTAGAAAAATTAACATGCGAGTCTGATACTTGGTTTAAATTGTACATAGCATAGATAATAAAAAATGCTTTTTACAGTTAATGGGTGTCTTTATTGGAACATTTTTGTAAATGGCGTCAGCTGCTGAATATTTACTGACTTTCACTTAAGTACTGAATAAAGTCAAACACTCACTGCAGGGTTAACTCATTATGATGTGAATGTTGTACCTCCAGGAGCATTTATGATCCCGTTTCTGATCCTGCTGGTTCTGGAGGGAATCCCACTGCTGCACCTGGAGTTTGCCATCGGTCAGCGCCTGAGGAAAGGCAGCGTGGGAGTGTGGAGATCAATCAATCCCTGCCTGACTGGAGTTGGTATGTGGTACAGACATTTATGATCAGCATTTGGCTGAAAGCAAGTACAGCCTCACAGAGCTGCTAGCATGGCTGCAAACTTTTAGTTAAAAATTAAGACCACTACCACAAGACTCATTTTTCCATTCTGTTTCAGGTATTGCATCCTTGCTTGTCTCATTTTTGGTGGGTATGTACTACAACACCATCATGGCCTGGATCATGTGGTATCTCTTCAACTCCTTTCAAAGTCCTCTGCCTTGGAGCCAATGTCCTCTCAATGCTAACAGGACAGGTATAGCTTCATCTATCAAAATAAAAGTCAGACTGAATCCAAAAAGGTTGAAGGTTTCTGACATCCTGTTCTTCACAATATGATTCTTTGCAGGTCTGGTAGAGGAGTGTGCTCGGAGCACCACCGTTGACTACTTCTGGTACAGGGAGACTCTGAACACTTCAACAGGTATCAGTGAGTCTGGGGGCCTGCAGTGGTGGATGGTGCTGGCCCTGGTAGCTGCCTGGTCTTTGCTCTATGTCTGCTGCATCCGGGGCATCGAGACCTCTGGAAAGGTCAGCACATTACATCTAAGTAATCCAATGTGGGAGTGATCCCTGCTACTGTGCATATATGCTAATTCAAATAAACCTTTTAATCATTTCATTATTTTCCCATTTCTCAGGCTGTGTACATCACTTCCACTCTGCCATATTTGGTCCTCACCATCTTCCTCATCAGAGGACTGACTCTAAAAGGCTCCATAGAGGGAGTCAAGTTCCTCTTCACGCCAGATGTAAGCACCGTTGTAACACACCGCCCAATATTGATACCACTCTTATACCTGTCTGGTGCATAAAGTATAAGGATACAGTCAGAGGCTGGTTAGCTTAGCATAGCGAGTGGAAACAGGGAAATGGCTAAAAAAAAACCAAAAGGAAATAGTTTGGCACATAATCTACTACTGAAATGCAAAAGATTAACAGAGTTGTAGTTACCACACAGAGATAACCACTGGCTGAAAACTAAATGTGCGAAATTGCATCTAAATTGAAAATTAATTGAAGTGACTGAGATAAACTTTGATCATGGGACTGATGAAAGCTGGTAGTGAAAGTTCAAAGACTATACTGCCTGCCACTGATGAGATATTTTCAGTAGTAATCCACTGATAAATTAAATATGAGTAATATTCATATGACAACTTTGTTTTTTAAACTCCCATTTGCCTGATTTTATTATGTGTTGGTGATAATTATATTTGAGAAAAAAACAAAACATAACTATGATCCTGGTGTGCAGTACCTTGACATATTAATTATTAACAGTACCGAGGACAATAGGAGATAGTGGTTACTGTCAGTTTTAAAGAGCAGACATATCACAAAAGGAAGTAATTAGCATAGGTATCTCAGCTCAGATATACTAAGAATATATCTTTTGATTCTCTTTTAGGTGAATGAGTTAATGAATCCACAAACTTGGTTAGATGCAGGTGCCCAGGTTTTCTACTCCTTCTCTGTGGCTTTTGGAGGTCTCATCTCGTTCTCCAGTTACAACTCTGTTCAGTGAGTAACAGCCTCAAGTGCACAGTCACACAATGAGCCCTCGTTTGAACGCTTCTCCTCACATGATCATTATTTTCTCGTAGCAACAACTGCGAGCAGGATGCCGTTCTCATCTCTATCATCAATGGCTGCACCTCAGTGTACTCTGCAACGGTTATCTACTCTATCATCGGCTTCCGGGCCACGCAAAAATACGATGACTGCATGGGAGAGTGAGTTTCAAACTTCTCAAAAAAGAGGGCTTAAGAAACACACTCTGAGTCACTTGTGTCAGACTGAACTCATCTCTCTGTGCTTTCTCTGCAGCAACATCCTGGAGCTGATAAATGCCTTCAACTATCCTGAAGGCACTATCACAGAGAGCAACTACAACGAGGTTCTGACCCACCTCAACCAAACGCAACCCGCTATCATTCAAGGGTTGCAAATCCAGACCTGTGACATGCAGACTTTCCTCAGTCAGGTCAGTAGAGAGCATTAGATATTTCTCAGTTAATTTGACTAAAATCTCTAGTTTCAGTCTCACAGAAATGCTTCAACAGATGGTCAATGATTGAAATATGTGGTGTTTACTCCTTCAGGGTGTGGAGGGAACAGGTTTGGCCTTCATCGTGTTCACGGAGGCAATCATCAAGATGCCTGTTTCTCCTCTCTGGGCTGTCCTCTTCTTCATCATGCTCTTCTGCCTCGGCCTCTCGACTATGTTTGGCAACATTGAGGGAGTCGTGGTTCCTTTGCAGGACCTCAGAGTGTTGCCCCGAACTTGGCCCAAAGAAGTTTTCTGTGGTAAATTTCCTATTAAATATAAAATACTTGTTCATGTGGGATTAGAAAATGCAATGTAGAGATATGAGTGTAACCACTTTTTTTGTAATTTTCTTTCAGGTCTGACTTGTTTAATTTCTTGCGTTTTCGGGCTCATATTTGCTCTGCGCTCTGGAAACTACTGGCTGGCTCTTTTTGACAACTTCGCAGGTTCTATCCCCCTTCTGATCATCGGATTCTGTGAAATGTTTGCTGTTATCTACATTTATGGCATAGACAGGTAAGTGTGTCCAGTAAGTGATCACATGTTAAGTTTTGTGACCGTATCTTACATAATTGCGACACCATTGTTCTGACAATCAGATATATAAACACCTGTCAAAGTACTCAAAACTCCCTCTGTGGTAGTTCCCGCTACAGTAGGTGAAAACAATACAGGCAATCCACTGTTGTGGCTGGTAACAAAGCAGGAAATAACAGCATATTTTGTTCTTAACGTTGGAACAGAGATAATGTCTTGCATTCATCATAGGAGAGATAAAGAAGTACAGAGTATCTTGTGATGTAGCAAGACTGTGGTGATGTATTTTTGCTCAGAGTTTCAATAATACTGTTGATGAAAGCAGGAAAAAATGCTACTCACAGTGACAAAATGTTCAAAAGATTGCATTATGTTATGTTTTTGTGCATTAAAGTTCAGGTTAGATTAAAGAAACAGAGTCAAGTTCTGTTTCTTTGAAGTTCAGTGCAGCATCACCCTGTTGAACACACATCAACAGGCTGCTTTATTTACTGTAACTAATAAAAGGGCAAGGTCGTCTTTTATGGATGCTTTCATACACGATTAGCTGACATAAAATCTCCCTCTTATTGCCTCCACACAGGTTTAACAAGGACATTGAGTTCATGATTGGCCACAAGCCCAATATGTTCTGGCAGGTGACATGGAGAGTGGTTAGCCCACTCATCATGATCGTAATCTTGATTTTCTACTTCATTACCCAAATCTCGAAGACACTCACTTATTTGGTCTGGGACGAGGAGGCGGTAAGTGGGCTTGTCATCATTTTTTTTCACTTTACTTCTCTTATCAATGATTCTTTTACAATGTGATATGTTGCTATAAACCGTAACATTTCCTCTTGCCTGTGGCTATAGGCGAGCTTCCCCACCCTCGAACCACGTCCATATCCCTCCTGGATCTACGCCATCATCTTCATCTTGGCTGGAGTTCCCAGTTTAGCCATCCCAGGTACCGCCCTCTTCAAGTTCATCCAGAACAAATGCTGCAAGCCGAAGGACTACAGTGACAAGAAACTGGACACCATCTCTGCCAAAATACAAATGAGTGACAAAAAGTTTTAAATAGCTTTTCTATTGATTATTTAAAAATGTGTCGAGGTGGACCTGTTTTATTATACTTATTGCTTTTCTCTTCCTTGTGCCCTGTACAATAATAAAAGAGCACACTAGTGACTACTGACTGGAAAGTAGGAGTAAATTTAGAAGCATTTTCTGTAAAATACTTGTTTTGGAGAAAAGAGTAATTGATAATACTTTTCTTGCTATTGTAATATGTATGTACATTAGTATGAATCTGTATATTACATTAAAGGAATAGTTGGACATTTTGGGAAATACACTAATTTGCTTTCTTGCTGACAGTAAGACAAGAGGATTGATGCCACTCTTATGTTTGTGCACTAAATATAAAGGTACAGCCAGCTGCTGGTTAGCTGAGCTTGGCTAGCTAGGAAAACAGCTAGCCCAGCTCTGTCTAAACATAACAAAGTCTGCGTACCAGCACATCTAAGGCTCTTATTAATTCTTTATATTCCATTTGTTTAATCCGTGCAACAAAAGAAGTGTAAAAATCAGTATGTCGTTGAACATGATTAGCTTTTTCCCCCGTTTCCAGCCTTCATGCCAAGCTAAGCTAACCTGCTGCTGGCTGCAGCTATTTATATTTAGCACAAAGATATGAGAGTGGCATCAGTTTTATCTCATTCTCTGTAAGAAAACCAATAAGCATATTGCTTAATATTGTAAATTTTACTATACACATGTTTCTAGTGTACAAAAATATTTTATTTTAATATTTTGTAAATAATCTTCAACAGAGGAGTGAATTCTTGTTAAAATTTTTGACATACTGCAAGCATGTCTTTCTTTTTTAAAGCAAAAATGATTACATTCATGTGATCAGTGCATTTTAGTCAAACTGTTGTCTATAAGTTTGTTAGTTTTTTATTGTGGGGGAGTGTTGTAAAGTTTTAATGTTTGGTGTATTTTACAAAACTGTACTTACACTGCCATAAATTGTCATCTGTACTCTGTATCAATACTCTTCTCACCAGTTCAGACATAAGAGCAACATTAAGGTTACTGGTTACTATTTGAAGAAATAGGCCTATGTATTATAAGAGTAAATCATGTAGAATACATGAGCTTACTGGCACTTTAAATTATTTTGCTTGGCAACACTTGCATGACACAGTTTCCTGTTGTAACAGTGATTTTGAATAAACCTTCAAAATAAAACACTACTAACAAATCACCAAAGCAATTAATGTGATTCCCTCTCATTTGTCTGTGACAAAGGAGCATCCAGCATGAGCTTAGTAATTATTTTAGTGAATAAAATCTTTTTTCAGATTGGCCATGAAATTTTGTACATTTGACATTTAATTATGAAACTGAATGACTTATATGTATATATTTATGACTTAACTTATATATACGGCTGTAAGTTCAGAGTGTGCTCTGGCTAATCAGTGATCTGCAACAGTAAAAGATCATAAACATGTCAACATTGCTGAGTGCTTCCATGTGGACGTTCATACTTATACACAAACCCCTCACTAATGATTCAACTGTACTGTAGTAGACACTGCGTCTCTGCTTCAGTACACATGTGTTCGCCATGAGACTGGTATTTCCGAACCCAGGACTGGATCTCCGGATCCCTAACTATGAGGATCTAGACAGGAAGGAGAAGGAGGAGGCTGGTGACAGGCCCAAGTGGGACAACAAAGCCCAGTACTTCCTAACCTGTGTGGGCTTCTGCATTGGGCTTGGCAACGTGTGGCGATTCCCTTACTTGTGTCAAAGTCATGGAGGAGGTAAGCCGAGACAGGTGGGAAACGGACATATCTGGTTAAGTTGAATAACTGATTGTGATGTAATGTTCCTGACTTGTAAGCCGCTTTGGATAAAAGCGTCCTCCAAATGAGTAAATGTAAATGCGATGTAATGATTTACAAATGAATGTATGTTTGAGGTAACCAGGAATTATTTTATCATGAAATTATGTATGTATATTTCCTCTAAGGGACATTTTACGGTGCAGAATTTGTCTATGCGGGTTTGTAAAAGGCCAAATACCTGAACCATGAACTTAACCATTTCACTTCGAACAAAATCACTGGTCCTTTGTACCTGAGGATAAATGGTAAGTTAAATATATCACTCATTCATGGCTACGACAGAATGGCATGAAATTAGCATCAAGTTATATTAATGATTCTCAAGTGTATGAGGTTCTCTGAAGTAATGACTAACCTGTGGCATTACAATTGAGTTTAAACTGAATGCTAAGAATGCATTCATACTGCATATATTTGGATGTGTATATGTTTGTGTTAAATGGGTCATTGCTGCGCACTGAGCCACAGGAGATGTGACAGATTTCAAAGGTGACTTGTTAACTTAAGTCCATACAGTTAAAACCACTGTCCATAGTCCATGCCAACAGCAATATACTGATGGATACAAAACAATACCAATGTTACACTTGTGTCTGCTGTAAGTGTGATAAGATTGCATTATATTTTTTGTCCATTAAGTAAAAAACTTTACTGAATTGTATTACAAATTGCATTGACTCTGCTTATCACGATTTTATATAACAACAAATGAGTCACCTTTGAGTGTACACTGTAGTTAATACATAACTGTTATTAATTACCGTTATCAGCAAAGTTCTTTATTTAAACATTTTATATGTCATATTTCAACGCTGCCAAGTTCCATCCGCGAAAGGCCATATATGTGTTGTCATCTGCAACACCTCATCATACTCATTTGTCATGCCTTGTCCAAAATCTAATTACACCAGCATAAAACTTTTAAATGCAGCGAGTGGAATAGTGATATGGGTTCCTTGAATTTCATGAGGTATTTTCTTGTGGACCGAAATGGAAGACCAAACGGCACTGCCATCCAAACCATTATCACCGAGGAAAGGAGCAGTTTTACTGTATGTCAGTGTTACCGAGCAACTGTCATGGTGACTGAAAAAGGAACTGCCGACAACACTAACAAAGAGATATTTATGTCCCAGTAAAAGATCACATTTTTAGAATTGAAAATTCAAATCACTGATCACATACATTTAACATTTTCCAGGTGCCTTTTTGATTCCCTACCTGATCCTGCTGGTGTTGGAGGGAATGCCTCTTCTGCTGATGGAGTTTGCCATCGGCCAGCGTCTCAGGAAAGGCAGCGTGGGAGTGTGGAGGGCCATCAGCCCTTATCTGACTGGTATTGGTAAGTAGAGTATGCTCTGGAGCAAAACCGGGTATCTGGCGTCCTATGAGTATGATATCACAGTTAATGGTGCTGTCCCTCAGGTATAGCCTCCATGCTGGTATCCTTTTTGGTTGGACTATACTACAACACCTTAATAGCCTGGATATTGTGGTATCTCTTCAATTCCTTTCAAGACCCACTGCCCTGGGCCCAGTGTCCTCTCAATGACAATAGGACAGGTATTACACACATTTATATCACACACATACACATGTACACTAAAGCATACTAATTGCATCATTATTTATGCATATTTTTTTGATCCCTCAGGATTTGTATCTGAGTGTCAACAGAGCTCCACCATAGATTATTTCTTTTACCGAGTGACTCTGAATAGTTCGGCCTCTATAGCTGACTCTGGAGGAATCCACTGGCCCATAGTCGTCTGCCTGTTAGCTGCCTGGACAATAATCGCTATCTGCTGTATAAGGGGCATCGGCACTTCAGGCAAGGTTTGTTTGAACCTGCTGTTAAATAATATACATTACTGAATCACAACTATCAATCACTATCCCTATTATTTCATGCTTTTTTTAATATCTTGTCTTCACCACAGGCAGTGTATGTCCCAGCCATCCTGCCGTACATATTGCTGGCCATCTACCTGATCCGTGGACTGACTCTTAAAGGAGCCCTGAGTGGAATAAAGTTCCTCTTCACACCAGACGTATGTTTCAAATCTAGATTGGAAAAAAAAAAAGTGTGTTTTATCTCAAATCAATCTCACACGCTTCACTCTTGCAGGTGGAGGAGTTGATGAAACCAACAACTTGGCTGGATGCAGGTGCCCAGGTCTTTTATTCCTTTGGTTTGGCATGGGGAGGCCTCATCTCCTTCTCAAGCTACAACCCTGTTCAGTAAGAGACATTTAGAAGACCTGTTGTGTTTATAACCACATAGAAGTTCAACTCTTATTCAGCTCACATCAATGAAAATGGAAAAGAAAGTAGCCATTGTCAGACACGATGAGTCCTTCATTTTTTGCCTGTTATCTTTCCCAAGCAACAACTGTATGCAAGATGCTGTGATCCTGTCGGCAGTAACTGGCCTCACCTCAATCTATGCTGCCACAGTCACCTACACCATCATTGGCTTCAGGGCCACTGAGAAATATGACAACTGTATCAATGAGTGAGTACAGTTCGATTATGATAAGCAAATATATGTGGATTCATCTCTGACTTATATTGACAGAAAATACTAATTGGGCCTTTAAAGAAGGGTATAGAGATCTCTTGTAAGTTATGCAATTGCTACATAGTACAAAGTCTCCTATTTTAGTTTTCCCAAGGACAGTGTTTGCTTACTGTTACAGTATAACAGATAATAACTCAGAGAGGAAAATCTGTACTAACATGGCATAGCTTTGGAAAACACCCAGCATACCAAGTCAGACATTTGAAGCCTCGATAGCTTCAACTGTACTTTGAAATACATTTTTGACGTTGTCAGATGTTGTCCCCATCTTTTACAGACACACTAGCAAGTATTAAGACAGACTTGAAAAATCTGAACCCATATTTTAATGTTGACTCCAGTAATCCAGAGTTACTAATCAAAGACATATTTTTTTTCTAGAAACATCATGACATTATTAAACGCATTTGAACTTCCTGAAGATAACATCACTACGAGCAACTATGAGGAAGTGTTCAATCATTTCAACAGCTCCTATCCTGACACTGTTCTTGGATTGGACATCAAAACCTGTGACATGCACAAACTCCTCAGCGAGGTAACTATATTGATGAATATCTATCAGATTCCTCAGTTATTACCGTTTGTTACTCTAATCTGAATTGTGTTTGCTCAGGGAGTGGAGGGAACAGGTTTGGCCTTTATTGTGTTTACAGAAGCCATCACCAAGATGCCTGGCTCTCCAGCGTGGTCTGTCCTATTTTTCATCATGCTTCTCTGCTTGGGGGTCTCGACCCTGTTTGGCAACATTGAAGGAGTGGTGGTACCCTTGAAAGACCTGAACGTATTCCCTAAAAAATGGCCCCACGAAGTACTGACTGGTAACCTGGTTTTAAAAATCAACTGTCAGTTTCTCAGCTTTTCATCTACTAATAAAACATCTTTAGTGTTTGTCTTTGCTTTCTGTTTGGTGCAGGAACAACATGTGTTGTCGCCTTCCTCATCTCCCTCCTGTTTGCGCAACACTCAGGGCTTTATTGGGTAACTCTCTTTGACACCTTTGCTGGATCTGTTCCACTTCTGACCATTGGATTGCTTGAGATGATAGCTGTCGTGTACATCTACGGCATAGACAGGTTAGTGCCTATTCAAACTATTTTAGCAACACATTGCCTTTTTGTGTTTGCATTACATCTTGATACTGGCTTCAATATGACCATACACTTACCAGCACCAATCTCTACCAGTTTTTGAGAAAAAAACCCTAGACCTATTCAAGTCCTGTGTAACAGGATTTCATTACATATTTCAAAACTTTTCAAAACTAAATTAAAACTTCTTGTGTGTCAGGTTCAATGAGGATTTGAAGTTCATGGTCGGACGTAAGCCCTCCATCTTCTGGCAGGTTTCATGGAGGTTCATCAGTCCTCTAATCGTCCTGGTTATTTTGGTTTTCTACCTGGTGACCCAAGCCCAAGAGGAGCTCACCTATTTAGTCTGGGACCCCAACTCTGTAAGAACACAAGATCTGTGATCATCTCATTTAACAGCATATGAATTCCTGCTTTATGTTGTTTTTTTGATCCCTCATTGCAAAATACACAAATTACATGGCACGTCAAACGTTTTTAGCCTGATGTTTTTCCTCTGTTGTGTAGCATATATTAAATAGCTTCACCATATTTCACCAAAGTTTGGAAAGCATTTGAATGCTAAATGCACTAACTATACTGCTATTTGTTCTATAGGAGGAGTTTCCATCTCTGGCATCAGTACCGTACCCTTCATGGGTAGGTGCAGTCATATTTCTTTTGGCAGGAGTCCCCAGCCTGGCAGGGCCTGTGTTTGCATTATGTCGACTGCTCTTTGTTTGCTGCAAGAAAAAAATTGTATCCTGAGAAAAAATTTGCCAAATTTCCTAAAATGTTTTAAGTCATACATTTCAGAGTACAACAATTTGCAAGGTTATTTAATTTGCCTTCTTAAAGTCAATTAACATCACAAGAATTCCAATGTTTTATATGAATGCACGGGTATGTTTAAATGCACAATGCTGATGTTTTAGTGACGCACTTCAGTAACATACTCTGAATTTCTGCTCATATTTTGTAGTTATATGGCTGCTGTATAAATAAACTTACTCATTGCACAGATTTCTCGTTCCATTGGACAACATTAGTTTTCGATCCATACATGCTTTTTACCTGCCTATGCTATTTATAGAGGGGCATATTGGTTTGTAAATGTATAGTTTACTTGTAAGTTTTGCTGTTGAAATCATTTTTGTCTCAGTGTAATATAATTTTGACTAAATAACTTTACAAGCCTTGGATTTTTGTGCTCTTATTTTATATTATTTTTTAAATTTGCTCTACCTTGATGTATTTGAGTGAAAATAAAAGTTGAATAAGTGAAAACTATAGGAAATACCCTCCAGTATTTAAAAAAATGTCTGCCTATCAAAAGAAACAAAATTACAGCAAATAAAATCTTTTATGAAAATGGCCAAAATCTGAGCATTGTGTGCATATGACCTCTGGAGAAAACTTGAATGTGAAGTACAGACTAACGGCTGCCATAAACGATGAAGCTCTTTCAAAGAAATTACATCTGCATTTAGATACAATAGTTTTCTTCGTGGTGTTAAAGAGTCACTTTTAACAGAAGACAGGAGGTGAGATGAGGTTACGCATCAGTTGATCTTTAACAGCATGAGCTGTTTGATGTCACTTCATGTGTGTGGGACCTAACCACACAGTATAGATGTTTAAAAATGAAGAAGAACAGCAAATTGGCCAAGAGAGGGAGACATCACACTGAGAGAACACCGAGTGGTAGTAAGGTCAGGTGAACCAGACGCAGGAAAGCACAACACACTATGGCAGGATACTTTGCATATGATTGAGGTACAGGAGAAATGTAAAAGGCTCTTCAACTGTGATAATGTGATAACATAGTTGCTAAAATAATAAATCCATTTTTTGAGCACTCATCCAACTACAGCATAGTGATCTACTGTATGATTTAATCTGATTATTCTATTTTTCATTATAACAATATAAATAAACGCTGACATGGATTGATCAGCAGTCCGCGGTGCCAATACAGAATACACTAAATATCATTTACAAGTAATAATAAGTAACTTCAATAACTAATTATTACTATAAAATAACTTGTTATTGAAGAATGTTCCAGCCAAACTGAACTTTGCTTCTTATTCATTTAGTGCATCTGGACAATTGCCAAACCATTGTCTTTTAATAATTCACAAAAATAACGATAACAGTATCAGAAAGCTTTACATGATGTACCTGTCCATGTGCTGATGTCTTATAAAACACCTGAATCCTACTGAGGCATCATCACGAGGTCACTCATTAATATCGGTAGAACACCACAGTAGATTTAACATGAAACCGTGTGAGCTAGCACAACGCTCATGAATTGTTACATCATCAACATAAACGCATTCTGGGGTAATTTCAGAAGTGGGGGACACAGTAAAGTTATCCAGAGTCTAGGAGTCCTTTTGTGGTTTTCTCAAATTATGAAAATTGTGGTGTGTGTGTTTTTTGTTTTAGAACATGGTGTCAAATGTTATAAAATATATGGGATGTCTCTCATGATTATAACAGAAGTATATTCCAGCTTATAGAACTGCATTATAAAACTTTATTATAAAGCCTGAACAAGCAATTATTAACAATGGCCAGGACAACTGGAAACAGTGTTTACTACCGGTTTTGATTAGTACTAAATCTCAGGTTTGTTTTATGAAATCATACCAACTTCTATTATCTCTGAATGAGTTCATAAATCCATATGACATGGTTGGAGGCAAGTGAACAGGTTTTCTATCCTTTGACCTCCTTGGAGGGTTCACTTCATTCTCAAGGTGAAACTCTACTCAGTGAGTGACTGCCTCAGCTGTAAAGTTAGAGTTAGTTTGGCGAACCTTCCATTCAACAGTCCCCTACACTTGATACCCCTTCTTAATATTCCTGGAGCAACAACTCAGCAAGACTGGTGGTATAAAAATAGAAGTACAGACTGTGCACTAGCCAATCTGAACTGCACCAGATAAAGTAAAAGATCATAAACATGTCTCAACCTTGGCAAGTGCATACTCCAAGCGCTCACTTCAACGTCCAAGAACGATCGTGTTAACATCTTTGCTTTAGCCGGTTCGCCATGAGACTGGTATTTCCCAACCGGGGACTGGATCTGCGGATCCCTAACTATGAGGATCTGGAGAGGCTAGAGAAGGAGGAGGCCAGTGACAGGCCCAAGTGGGACAACAAAGCCCAGTACATCCTAACCTGTGTGGGTTTCTGCATTGGTATTGGCAACGTGTGGCGATTCCCTTACTTATGTCAAAGCCATGGAGGAGGTAAGCCGAGATAGAATGTTAAAAAGATGTCTTCTTATATCACTGTAAGTAACTTTATGGTCTTTCCACTGCGATTTTCCTGGAGGGACAAATTCTAGCAGTGCAATATTAGTATGAGTCCTCAAAAGAAAGGTTCAAAAGGCAAGTGTTGATATAGTGAACTCTGAACTCTTTCACTTTCAAAGAAATCACTAGCACTTTGTGTTTTTTTTCTTCAAAAGTGGCTGTGTTAAGTAATACTGTGGATTAAGCCACAGGAGATGAGACAATTTTCTAAAGATAATATATTAGAATTTAATTTTATTATTTACTACAACACAACAGACAACACACTAATAGGATAAGACAGGGAAAACAAAACAGCACAGCACAGCTACTAAAGAACCAGGACATATAAGGGATTTAGATTGTCTCATGTTGGTCAACTTGGTGTTGGTTTATGCAAGTGCAAGTATGTGTACATGTTTATGTGTGAGAACGTGTATATTTGGTGTTGGGAGGGAGGCTATGAGTAAGTATGAGGGAGAGAGTATGAATAAATATTCTCTCCTATAAATAAATATGTAGTAGTGCTAAAAGTACTTTTTACCACCACAAATACTCAAATACTACCACTACGACTACTACTACTAGCACCAATAAAAATAATAATAATGGTCGAAAAGCAGTATTGTAATTGTTGCCTTTTGTAATCATTCATGTTAGCATCTTCTCTGTTCTGCTCTGATTTGTGTTTGTTTTTGGTTGTTGCAACCGATATCCAAGCTTTGGATCACCTCCACTGGAAAGACTCCCATGTTTGCAACCTGAGAGTGATACGTCATCAAACAGCTCAATTACAAAGATAGCTTTGTAGAGGCTAAAAATACTGCACTAGACTGTAAAGCATTGCTCTATATCCATTAAATTTATGTTTTCATGATGGAGTTTGTCTAATGTGAGGTGTTTTCAGGCACTTTTCTAAAACATCAAGACTGATATCGGAGCAATCAGGAAATATCCAGATTTTGCAATAGTTGGAATTACCACTTGGATATTGATATATTTGCCATTTAAAAATGGGAAACTGCGACAAAAATATATCGTATGCACACAGCATTAGAACCACAATTAGTGACTATTCTACAAGCAAGCCTTCAAGCTATCTTGCTAGCTTGTAAACTAGTGCTTGCTCATAGTAAAATACCAGTAACTTGGACTACACTATACACCTTAAAATCACTGGCAGGGCTGCCAGAAGTTACCATTAAGTTTTTGTAACTATATAATAAAACCAATTGTGGCAATAACTGATTTTATTGTATTGTATTTGAGTAAATACAGCAATCAAGCAATGTAAAGGGGTTCTACTGATTCTGCCAGTGGTTATAAACAAGAAAAAAACAATGGCTTGGAGTAAACAAATTAGTGAACTGTGCACACAGATTAATAAAGTGTTTGCTGAGTTTAGCTATCCATTTGTACAAATTCAACAAAAGCGTACACACAGATTAGCAAACAGCAGATGAGAGCAAATTCAGTTTAGGGGAAATTTTGAGTTAATTCTTCTAGAATATCAGCAAACAAAACCGAAAAACAGTATATACTCAGGAGGATAGCAGGAGTCCAGCAATGAGACAGAGGAAAGGCAGTCCATTATGTACTCAGAGACTCAGCGCAGAGGTTACAGGTATGAGCAAACAACCCAACCAACTACCTGCACAGAGATAACAAAGCAGGACAAGAAAGACATGCAGAAAGAGCAGGTGGGGCTGTCACAAGGGTCAGTATCATTAATGACCCTATCCTGTGGGAATGTTTTACACCCTAGGCTACTCTGCTCTTTTTGGGATTTTAACAAGGCTTCCGATTATCAGAAATTCAGTAATACAGATTTAATATTGTAACACTGATCGCCTTCATTTTCCAGGAGCCTTTTTGATCCCCTACCTGATCCTGCTGGTGCTGGAGGGAATGCCACTCCTGCTGATGGAGTTTGCCATCGGCCAGCGCCTGAGGAAAGGAAGTGTGGGAGTGTGGAGGGCCATCAGCCCTTATCTGACTGGTATTGGTAAGTAAAATAGGCTCTGGAACAATATGTCCAAAGCAGAGGCAAAATAAATGCATATAAAACAAGACAGCACAGCAACGCAAAGCTTTCAATGAATATCTGAGTGTGAAATCACAGTTAATGGTGCTGTCCCTCAGGTATAGCCTCCATGCTGGTATCCTTTTTGGTTGGACTATACTACAACACCTTAATAGCCTGGATCATGTGGTATTTCTTCAACTCCTTTCAAGACCCACTGCCTTGGACCCAGTGTCCTCTTGCTGACAATGGGACAGGTATTTGGAAACACACTCTCTCCTCTCACACCACACACACACACACACACACACACACACACACACACACACACACACACACTCTCTCAACACAGTAAGAACTCTACTCATGATTAAACCATTTGCAAAAACCTCTCTCTTGCCCCTGCAGCATTTGTACCAGAGTGTCAACAGAGCTCTACTGTGGACTACTATTTTTACAGAGTGACTCTAAATAGTTCAGCCTCTATAGCTGACTCTGAGGGACTCCACTGGCCCATAGTAGTCTGCCTCTTAGCTGCCTGGACACTCATCTGTATCTGCTATATACGGGGCATCAGCACTTCAGGCAAGGTTTGTTGAACCTGCTGTTAAATAATATACATTACTGAATCACAACTATCAATCACTATCACTATTATTTCATGCTTTTTTTAATATCTTGTCTTCACCTCAGGCAGTGTATGTCACAGCCATCCTGCCGTACATAGTGCTGGCCATCTTCCTGATCCGTGGACTGACTCTTAAAGGAGCCCTGAGCGGAATAAAGTTCCTCTTCACACCAGACGTATGTTTCAAATCTTGATAACCAAAACTATATATTAACCTGGTATATATAGTATATATGTTTTTACAAAACAAAACAAAAGATTTAATGCTAATTGAACATGCCAGAATGAAATACCCCTTTCAGTACCATGGATAGCGCCACTTGGCCAGGCATGCCAAAACACTTTAAACTTCCGGATTTATGTCAAAATGTAATAGTACAATGTGCTAAAAAATAAATAAGCCATTGTCACAGGAGTGAAAGTCCATTTCTGATTTTATGGTTATTTGTTCTATAGACTGTTCCATAGTCGGACTGGCCAGAGGAAACACCAGGAGAATATAGATGCCTGTCTTGATGCCTGTTATATAATGTGCATGTCAATTAGGGTTACTGTACATTTGTACTGCACCAACACTTTGGCATAACCATGGTGTAAACCAGGGGCTTAAGGCTAAGCCACGTTTCCAATTCATGAGCCTTGCCTCCATTACGGCAAATAAACTACTTTATTTACATGTATCATTATTACTAAAGGGGTAGAGGAATAATTAAACATGAGACACACCAAGCAAGAGAGATCTAAGAGAATGGGAAGGAGAAAGAGCACAGCTAAAGAAACTATCAGATCTGAATAGCATGTAAACAACAGAAACGGCAGCAACTGGAAAGTTACACGTAATTCAGTAACTTTAACTGGGCAAACAGGAGGAGATCAAAACAAGGCTTTGTACTAAAATACCAGCAAGACCAATTATACATGTTAAACGGAGGGACTTAAATATAAAGGTCTGCCTCAAATAAAGGTCTGTTACCTTCTGCAGTTAAGGTAAGTAAAAGCCTTGGCCACTATTTGCAGAAATAAGATAGTTGTTGTGGACCTCTTGTAAAGATCTTCGATAGTGCAATAGAAACTGTTTGTGCCAAGTCGTTTTGAAAGAGAAACAGCCAATGGGAAAAGTCCAACACTTGCACTGACCAATGGTAAAACTTCATCACTCACTGAACTCTACCACTCAGTCAGTCAGTCAGGGACATTCACGGATGTAGCGCTGGCCCATGGCCAGTCTAGCCAAAAAAAATGTGTTGCATCTCAAAGCTCAAAACTACATACTTTTGCAGGTGGAGGAGTTGATGAAACCAACAACTTGGCTGGATGCAGGTGCCCAGGTCTTTTATGCCTTCAGTATAGCATGGGGAGGCCTGATCTCCTTCTCAAGCTACAACCCTGTTCAGTAAGAGACATTTAGAAGACCTGTTGTGTTTTATAACCACATAGAAGTTCAACTCTTATTCAGCTCACATCAATGAAAATTAAAAAGAAAGTAGCCATTGTCAGACATGATGTGTCCTTCATTTTTTGCCTGTTATCTCTCCCAAGCAACAACTGTATGCAAGATGCTGTGATCCTGACTGCTATTACTGGTTTCACCTCAATCTATGCTGCCACAGTCACCTACACCATCATTGGCTTCAGGGCCACTGAGAAATATGACAACTGTATCAATGAGTGAGTACAGTTTTGAAAAAGTTAAGCAGACCCTGCCTTTTTTTAAAATGCCTTTTTTCAATAATGATAAACAATTCTTCACTTATATGTGTATTACTCTCAGATGTATTGTATATGGAAAACAAATTATTGATTGGGCCTTAAGAGAACGGGTCTAGAGATTGTTATGTCTATCTTACATTACTCACACACATATGTATGATGAAAAGAGTTATTGGGCCACTGAGAAATATGATCATCGTATCAGCGAGTGACTAGTCACAGAATTTGTATTTTAAAGTGCATTTTGAAGACTTTTTTAAAGGTGCAATCAAAATCTAAAAAGGGGAAGCCCTAACGCTTGGAAAAATAGATCAAATGTTTCTAATGCCGTCAGAGTTTTGTTTATATCAGTAATGTCTTTAATGAGCATAGCAAAACTGGATTTTTGAAATATTTTTTTAATCATGATAACTTGACTAACAAAATACTCATTTTCTATCCATAACTTCAATTCTTCAGTTGTGTACATAACTCAAATTTTGAGGGGCAAAAAAAATACAAATATGATTTGTATTGTTTACTCCAGTAATCCAGAGTTACTAATCAAAGACATATTTTTTTTTCTAGAAACATCATGACATTATTAAACGCATTTGAACTTCCTGAAGATAACATCACTACGAGCAACTATGAGGAAGTGTTCAATCATTTCAACAGCTCCTATCCTGACACTGTTCTTGGATTGGACATCAAAACCTGTGACATGCACAAACTCCTCAGCGAGGTAACTATATTGATGAATATCTATCAGATTCCTCAGTTATTACCGTTTGTTACTCTAATCTGAATTGTGTTTGCTCAGGGAGTGGAGGGAACAGGTTTGGCCTTTATTGTGTTTACAGAAGCCATCACCAAGATGCCTGGCTCTCCAGCGTGGTCTGTCCTATTTTTCATCATGCTTCTCTGCTTGGGGGTCTCGACCCTGTTTGGCAACATTGAAGGAGTGGTGGTACCCTTGAAAGACCTGAATATGTTTCCTAAAAAATGGCCCCAGGAAGCACTGACTGGTATTCTGTTTTGTAGTTAAATTAATCTACAAGTCGGCTTTGCAACCGCAGATGAAGCGATTGTCTGGTTTGTGTTTTAACACAAACTCCCCTGTTTTTGTTCATGTGTGTTTCAGGAACAACATGCGTTGTTGCCTTTGTCATCTCCCTCCTGTTTGCGCAGCACTCAGGGCTTTATTGGGTAACTCTCTTTGACAACTTTGCTGGATCGGTTCCACTTCTGACCATTGGATTGTTTGAGTTGATAGCTGTCGTGTACATCTACGGCATAGACAGGTTAGTGCACAAAGCTCCTGTATTCAGTTAATACAGTATTGTGTGATACTGTGAAATATTAGCAGCCACTTTTGTGCTTTGTTCTAATGATGGATTAAATATTAAAGATAATAACAGTTATCCATATATTTACTTAAAGCTGTGCTGATTAATATTTTTAATGGAAAAAATGACTACGTCACTATGTCACGTCAACCTACAGATAAGTATCAGTCTACTTGGAGTTCCCCTCTACTGTTTTAGCACCTTTCAGCCCCTGTTTTGGTTTTATATCCCACAACTTTACTGTTTATTGGTATTATACTGTATCTGTTTTATTTTAAGTCTGATATATGTTTTGTAACATGTATGGTCTGTCTTGTATGTGCCGCTATCTTGGCCAGGACCCTCCTGTAAAACAGCTTTTTAATTTCTGTGAGGAACTTTCCTGATTAAATAAAGTTATATATCATAATCTAATTAAAACCCTCATGTGTGACAGGTTCAATGAGGACATGGAGTTCATGATTGGACATAAGCCCTCCATCTTCTGGCAGGTTTCATGGAGGCTCATCAGTCCTCTAATCATCCTGGTTATCTTAGTTTTCTACCTGGTAACCCAAGCCCAAGAGGAGCTCACCTATTTAGTCTGGGACCCCAACTCTGTAAGAACACAAACTCATAACAGTAATCTGTGATCATTAATATTTGGGTGTAGGATCAGACTGAAACTCCAAGCCCTTTTTCTCTGATCACGCCTTATTAAAAAAGACAAATTCATAATATAATATTTTTATGATAAATGTTGTTGATACTACAGCATATAATGATAACTCACTTACTTGTCAGTAATCATACTGTTCTGTGGTTTACAGGAGGAGTTTCCATCGCTGGCATCAATACCGTACCCTTCATGGATAAGTGCAGTCATATTTCTTTTGGCCGGAGTCCCCAGCCTGGCAGTGCCTGTGTATGCATTATGTCGACTGATCTTTGTTGGCTGCAAGAAAAAATGTGCATCCACAGAAAAAATTAGGCAAATTTCTTAAAGTAATTCAAACATCGTAAAATTCAGAGTAAAACTAAATGCATGATTTTTTTTTTAATTTGTTGTGTTGCTTTCATAAGAAAATCTGTTAAGCTTATTTGGTTTTCTGCTGCAAACTGTGGGGCACAAGACTGAGCTGTTAATGATGTCAATGAATGGAAATTGGTTATATTTCTGCTCATGCTTTATGGCTGCCCTATCAATGAGTTTCTTATTGTATTGCATCTTTTTTTATTTTATTAAAGCCAAGACATTATACTGTTTTTCATCCATCCACGCTCTATAGCTGCCGATCCTGTTTAGCAACAGGCATGTAGTTTTGTACATGAATATAGCTTGCTTGTGAGTTTTGTCATTAAAATATTTTTGTCACTTTAAAACTTTACTCACTTTACTTTCAACAGAATTTTTACCTTCACACCATGAATTGTCCGATAACTTGAATATTAGTACATACTCATAATGTGGCCAACTTTAAGATGATCCCTCAAAAAATTTTTTAAAAAACAATGGGGCCTAATATATTTATAATAAATAGCCCTTGTGGTGTGTTCAAGAGGAGAAGACACAAGTTGACGTGAGTCAATGCATCAGCACTAGCTGTTTGATATCAGTTCGGTGTGTGTAGGCCCTAATTATACAGTTCAGAGATAAGACAGGCAGAAAATGAATGAGGAGAAAGGATTTTTTTCTCAAATGAAGTGGGAATGCCCAAAACTGCAAATATTTTAGAAGTAAGTTACATTAACTTTATGTAAAATTATTAGAGAATATTCCCTTAGACCCTAAATTATATATTTGGAATTACATTGATGACAAAAACTGAATCAGTTGGACTTATGAGTGCAAAAAGAGAGATTAACAATATGAATGAGAAATTATGGCTACAAACCTTTGCATCATTACATTGTTTTGAACAAATGTCTAATTCCATATATCTCTTTCATACATATGTACATAAGCACTACTACTGAGCCATTTAAGTATGTATATATATTAATATACTGTATATATGTGGGGTATGCATATGTATGCGTAAAACATATACATACATATACATGTGAATGTATTTTGTACAGTCAAGTATATGCATGTATTTGTGCCTACGGGTATATATGTATGGATATGAGTATGTATGAACATAGCTTGTGTACTGTATGTATAACCTGCAGCAACAGAGCCTGAAAAAAAGAACAAGTTTTCTTGTTTTGTCTGGCCTGGTGGAGGAGGCTAAAGACGCACTTTTTGTTGTGATATTGCTGTTTTTAATTTAATTTCTGCACATTTTTGTTTAATTATTGTGTTTAATAAATATGTTTCCATTCAAAAATGCTTTAAGGATTAAACATTTTTTGATTCTTTATTGCAGTTGCAAATTATGTGTTTGCAGAACAGGACACACACGCACGCACGCACGCACGCATGCACTATTTGGGACTTGCAGAAGCATGTTTACACCAGCAGGTGGCAGAAACAGACTTGGAATTGTATTGTTTCAAAAGAAAGAGAATTACAGATGTCAATAATCATTATGAGATGTAGGAGAAAATCAATTCACATTTACAGTTTTTTACATTTATGGTTTTTCATGAGCTAATTGTGTCAAATATGGGAATTATTAAGTCGATAAGCTTTAAACGCTTAAGTGCTTCCTTGACTGAGACCAAGACTAAAACTACTCACAGAAAGGATCCAGCCAAATGGCTAATATTAAAATATTTTGCAATGAAGCTTTTGATGTAACTGTGAATCAATTTCACAAGCATTTGTGCAACGGTTTTACATATTATAGCATTTGTGGCGAATTGTATTTGATTCAGTCAGTCATTAATTTCAGTACCTGATGCAAGTTACCACCGAAAAAATCTTTAATTAACACTTGGTGTGCTGCTCGTCAGTGAGTACATCCTCATGGGAATCAACATTGGCAAGAACAATATAACAGGTTGGGAAGGGAGAAGAGAATAAACCTGAGCTCATCGTCACAGACAGGAAACACAGGCATGAAGGTTTTATTATTATTACTAACTCAGTTCTTTCTAATCTGCAGATAATCAGTGTAACTAAAACTGCAATCTGCAATCAAAACGGCTGCCCCAGATTAACATGATTGACATGACATGATTGCATCCTATTTACATTCTGCCTAGTGTCAGCTGGTTTCAGCCCTCTATCTGTTAGATTCTCTCCTACTCTCTGTGCTCACATATATAGTATTTTAATACAGCCAAAATTTCCAATAAAGATGTTTTCATTTACATGTTTTTCTGTTACTGTTGTCAGACAACGGTGTAAGTTTAAAATAGTGACTGACACATGGCCCATTAAGACTACATGTTAACCAGCAATCACTTCCAAGCCATTTCCTAACTGCTGCTCTGCTGCTAAAACCGAGTTAAAGACAACGACTGTGCTGTGACTTGGGCTATATTTACTTGTAAAATGATCACTCAGAGAGATGGCTAGAAGCGACACAATATCTTTCTTATTTTGTCTCTCACACAGCGCACAGCCTCCATCTGGGTAACAAACTGCTGCCCCACCTTTCGCCACTCACTGAACAGAGTAGATGTGAGCAGATGGGGCAGTATTGGTGTCTCTCCTCTAAGAACAGTATTTTAAGTTTTTCCAAAAAGTCACTGGGTGCTCTATCTGTTTCTCTGTCACTAGCCTCAGGTTAATATTAGAATAGAGTTTACAAGAGCTATAAGTATTTTAGTTTAAACTATTAAAAAAAGTGAACTAAGCTTATTAACAGAACGAGGGTTGATACTCGGTTGTGAGTAGCCAGTGATTGCAGTCCCGGAAACATGCATGCAGCACGCTCTCATGCACACCCCTAATATCAGGCATGCAGAGAGCGCCAGTAAAAACTTAATGGGATTTTTCTTTTGGTCCGTCGGGATTTGTCAGTGTGTCTGATGGTATGGTGTGGTATGTTAAATTTCTGGTAATATGCTGCCCCCTACTTGTTTGGAGTATGAATTCAACAGTTCCACATTGCCTCTTAAAGGCTTATCTTTTTATTAGATTGCTGGAGCAGCATTTGGCACATATGGACAGAGACTCTGAAATAGTTTCTCGCTGCATTTTTTCACCTTTTCTTACATCTAGGTCAGTTACTGTCACTATTGTACTATTAATACATTTTATTTTTACTGACTTTTTACTTTTTTCATCTGCTTGCTTTAAATGTCATTTTACTTATTTTTTTCTTCTGTTTTGCACATTGCCTTGCATTTTAATTAACAAAACCTGTTAAATGTGTAAAGTTTGACTGATTGAATAAACACAGCATGATCACTTTAAGACTTTAATGATGTCTTTTTATTGACTGCATCTGAACAGTTTGCTGTAGGTCAGTGTAACACTGAAACAGCATCACCTGGTTATCCATTAATTTGAGGCTTAGCACACTCCAATTTTAAACAAACAGGGAGGTTCAGCTACTAAATCATCATGCCTGATGTTTTTGCTCACTTGTTGTTGACGTGAGTTCTTCATAAAAACCAATAAAATCTGTATACCTGACTCACAGCAGAATCTGATAAGATTTTAAAGGACAGCCCACTAAAGGGAGTCAGACAGAGGACGAGAGGGGAGCACTGGACATCACTTAGACAAACCCACTCAAGACAGTATTTATTCTGACATACACTGAACTGAGATCAGGAGGAGAATTCTGGACTGAATGAAAAATACATACAACCGGATTGAAGTGTAAATTAGAATTAAGAGGGTTGCATCTTTGTAAGAGAACTGGGGTTGTGCTAATCCTTTGGGCCAGCTCAGGATGGACAAAGCAAACAGCTCTAGGACAGAGGAGAGACCCAAATGGGACAACAAGGTGCAGTACCTGCTAACATGTATTGGCTTTGCAGTGGGACTTGGAAATGTGTGGCGTTTTCCCTACCTGTGCCAAATTTATGGAGGAGGTGAGATGCTACATTTACGTTCATTTTTTTCCTATTTCACATTGCACCATAATTACATTCACTGTGAGAGATTTTAAATGTTTTATCCGGCCATGAGATGTTTTGATGTTGGCCACAGTTGAATTTCCACGGGAGCAAAGATTCTCTTTTTGTTTTAGTGTAATTAGTCATTTACAAATGGACCAGGCCAGTCATTGTTACTGTCTGTGGAAAATGGTGAGCCTTATCTATGTTTGATTGATCACAGGGAGCATTACAGATCTTTCCCACTCAATAGTCTAAATTCCTGTATTTACTTCCTCATAGCTCTCAGTCAGATATCTTGAGCCCCAAAGCCACAGAATCCTAAAGAACCCAGGTCAGGGTAAAGTTGAGTAAACAGCCATCCCGTAAACGTGCATAAGTCTATCAAGATTGAGATTCCCACAGGTATTGTTTCAGACTCAGGTGAGCCTCTGTTTGACCTCGGTTTAGGGATCAATCAGTCCCATTTTCCTTCAGTCACTTTTACTTTAGTCTTAGATTATTTGGTACACATGCAGTGAGGAGTAGTTGGAGGTTTTATGCATTTTTACTCACCTGACTCGGGTCCACTCATGTTTTTAGCAACTTGGAAAACAAATAAAAAATCCTAGTGATCACCTAGTGTGAACAATTTATTTCTTTTATTATTGCAGTACCCTTATTTATCATTGCCTCAAATATCACTTATTACTGCTTGATCAAGATAATTAATGAATAGTTTTCACTTCATTAATATAGTTCAAATAGTCACTCATGATCACAAAACCTATTTTTAAATTTCTCAGCAAAGTATGTTGATAAAGACTCTTGTAATTTGACTGATGTCTAACTGTGAAGCAAATGTTTACTTATTATCTTCAGGTGCATTCCTCATCCCTTACCTGATAGCTTTAGTGTTTGAGGGCCTCCCCCTGCTCTACCTGGAGCTGGCTATAGGACAGAGGCTCCGCATGGGCAGCATAGGTGTCTGGAACTCCATCTCACCACTGCTGGGTGGGCTCGGTACGTGACCTAGGATTATTAGTAAAATGTGTTAGTATTT